ATGACTTATAAATCTCCCCCACATGCCATCTCCCATTAAACATGTTGCAAATCACCTCGATCGCTGAAGGAATGAATCAGTGTCTGTCTTGATTCTGCATGTTACCAGATCCACTCCAAAAATAATTCTCTTTTCTTTTTCGTTTTTTGACAAAGGGCATGAAGAAGTTGATGCTGGTTCATGGCTCCTCTTCTTTTATCACCTCCTCATATATGTTGGGCATGTCTGCCTCTCAAAAACATATTCTATACTAGTCTTAAATACGGACTTTTGACAAAAGATCGTGCTTATGTCATACAAATACCATCCCCCCCCCCCCCTGCAAACAAAGTATTGAAGTCTTCTAGGGAGCGCGATATTGTGAATACAGAAATGCGCTAATTGGATGTTTTTTTTTTTTAATTTGATTTGGAATATTTCTTTAAAAGCTAGAAAAGAAAAGAAGAATTGGACAGTTGATCCAAGCAGAATATTACCAGGATCCGAAGCCACTAACTCCTTGGGGCTTGTAAGATGGGCTGGAGAAAAAAAAGGGTCACCTCCTTCACAGCCCTTTTGGATATAAGCCTGGGTGTCATCCCCTTATATTATAGGGAACCTTCCAACTTTTATTCGATTATTCAGCCATGTATCATTAGCGTATCCATGATAACTTTGCAGGGGACCTCAAGTCCGATGAAGCACCCCCCCCCCCCTCCACCAATCTTAGTGAAAATAACCGCTGACATGCTGAAAAGATTAATTTATTGTTATTATTATATATTTATTTTTGAAAACGATTTGTCACTTTCACATTTTTAGGTGCCTCCGCGCCTAAAAAAATTAAATTGTCTACAGGGAGAGGCAAAGGAAATTATTCGTTTTGTTTAGGGGGCACATTTCTGTGTGTAATTAAAGACATGTCAGATGATTTTCTCCAGGGGCTTGTGACCCCCACCCCCATCCCCTGCATCTGCCAATAATGTATATAGAACATTTGTTTTAATTTTTATAATCGCATCAAAGGGGAAACTTTTTGGTGGAAGTCGGACATTATAAATATTTATTTCAGATATTATTATTATTATTATGTGGTATTTTGGTCTGTAATCGCAGACTACTCTTGCACCTCTCCCACCCCTCTCTTGATCCCGCGGGGTAGCGGTAAGCCACCCGTCATAAATTACATCATGTTATCACTGGTTCATTCACTGCCAAGGAGATGATATGACCATATTTGGTCAAAGTGACATTGAACCAAAACTTGGAAGAAATGGGGCAAAAGAGATCCAGCATACCTTCATGTTATGATAAAGGGGGATTTGGAAGAAAAATGTCTTGAAGTGGCATTATTCGAGATAAATGAATACTTTTTTCAAAACCTCCTTTTTGTGTTTCTGTATCATGATATGATAAGTTTCAGTCTCTTCGTAATCATGATGCATCATCATGTGTGTTCCACTCATTCATCAATCGCTTCTGTCACATGTTTTCTCATTCTCACTATCCGTTTTAAAAATAAATACTAGCACCATTTATCTTCTGATCTTTTGAACACTTTCTTTGAAATATAATTCAATAAATTCAATGGGTAATTTTTTTTCTAGCGCCGTCTACATACATGATCTAAAAAAATATTTAGATACGCTCTATGTACTTCCTTGCTTAATCGAATCTGCATGCTATAGTAAATATGTAGGCTTAAAACATTTAAAGTATATCGTCCTGTCAGTTACCCATTTGTCATACCTAGGTCGAGAGTGAAAACTGACGATAAAATGCCTTCTCATCGGTCAAGGGGGCATTTATCCCGAGCTTCGAACCCTGGGCCTCAAATCACTTTAGAATTGTCCACTACAAACTTAATGTAATCGATATTTTTAGGGAAGTATTACTGAGATAGCTTTGTGTGCAAAATCTGCAAATTGCCTTTTATTCACAGATTCTAAAAGTAATCACGAAATGATTGCGATGGATGAAAACAGGTGAGCAGATAGTAAACCCCCTTTTACTTGCCAAGCGAATGTTGTTAATGGTTGGAATATCAGACTTGGATATGCATGTTTAAAGGTAAAGACCAGTATTGGAAACGCCCCAATTTCAAAAAATGAAATGGAAGCTCTCATTACCAATCATGTGAAAGAATATGTTTTGACTAATACATGATGATAAAAAATTTGCCGGGAAACCGCCTACTAATTCATATATTTGGTAAGTTTGTTTCTCTCATGGTCTGTGAGAGATATAGGGTAGTCCCATATACATCTTTCTGTGTATTCCAGATGATTCCAGAACCTTGCAGATGCTAGATGCTAGATGATCAACCTTTTCTGATCGATTCCACAACGTTTCTTTCACAATGCAATCGCATGACCATAACTGGTCTTTACCTTTAATGTAAAGACTCTAATAATTCAGTGTCACATTTCGCACTTTGACAACACAAATTAGCCGTTATATCCCCTGACTTTTAAACCAATTTTACTGGTAAGTTTTCAAGAAGCCGGAAAAAACATGTTCAAAACGCTATTTTGTGCATCTAGGGATACCAGTCGTTGAAAAGAAATCATTTATATGAATGGTTGACCTTGGAAATACGAGGAAATACTTTTCTCCGAGAAAATATGGTTTATGGATCACAAAGGTCTCTGAACCATTGATTGGGTAGTCTTAGGATTACAGACACAGAGGTTGGAGTAGTATATGATACAGGATATATGAAGTACTAAAAGCCCTGGCGTACTGGTGGGGATGAGGATGGGGTAGGGATTGGGGCGGTTGGCCCCCCCCCCCAAAAAAAAAAACAACAAACAACAAACAAACAAACAAACAAACAAAACAAACAAACAAACAAACAAACAAAACAAAAACAACAACACCAGTGATTTAAAAAAGTTACCAAAACGACATGATTTTCAGGGTTTTTTCTCACTTTCGTGTAACTTGTACTTTGTTTTGCTTTTTGCCCCCCTTAAAGTTTTTGCTCATTGTGCTACTTACTAAAAGCGCATATTCCAAGACCAGAGACCGCGTGTAGTTTTTGAGAAAAAGATGAGGCAGTCATGACTCGAGAGCATTATAGTATTATATTAAACATGTGTTACAACGGGGCTTCTTCTCTTACGTAATTCACTGTGCGAGTGAAGTACATGTAACTGGGGGTCTTCGACTTTATACTACTTAATAAAACCGGCGGACCTTGCCCACAAAGCTCTGCCCACGCTATACGCCAATGGGTATTACAACATGACATAGATGTCAGAGATTTTCCCGAACTTTAGCAGAAAAAGTAAACTTTCATTCTTTCAAAAATAATTTGGTTTGGATCGAGCCGGGAATGTCATCAGTCATTCGGGATCACCTGTACTCATGATGCTATGCACATTTTGAGATAAATGGGACGGGGAAATCGAAGAAGCCACTTCGTACGCAGAGTTATGTAGGAGCGGTGACCCGACATTGTCGACATTGGAACGATGATTCGCCTGTCGGTCGAGGAACGATTAATCCTTATAAATCCCATCTAATTCACGTTATGTTACATTATGTTGTACATTATCCAGCATCTTTTGTCATCCTTTTTTCTTTGGTTTCCTCCTCCGCTCATTCTCCATCATTCTTTTGAGATCAGGACATACAATAATTATCAAACGAAATCATGACGATGATTTGTTCTTATTTTGTTGTATCTTCCATGTCTGACAAACTTTCTAAGCTGTCAAATGAATATCTGCACATCAAAGACGAACGTACAAACTTGTAGTGACCCTTTAAATGACCATTATACAATTGTGAGAAGCAGTCGGCAACAAAAGTTCAAGAAAAGATGTAATGGGCAGCTGAAACAAGTTAGATTTTAGCAAGAGCCATATATATAGGCTGAAACAGGGTTGCCCCCTTCACAACCTTTTGGTGTAAGCCTGGGCGTCACCCCTTATAGGGAGCCTGGCCTTTTTTTTTATGTGTGTATGAGCAACCCCCCCCCCCCCCCATTTGTGGATTTTTTTTTTGATGCCAATGGCTGACCTAAAAAAAATGACCTTACCCCCCCCCCCTACGGATCAAAATGTCAAATGTTCAAATTTCGAGACCCCCCCCCCCAAAAAAAAAAAAGTGCCCTCTTACCCCCACCCCCCCCCCCCCCCCCGCTTATTCAGCGGCTGGCTGAGTCGTTGCGATTTTTTTTTTGGGACCAAAAAAAAAGTGTCCTCTTACCCCCCCCCCCCCCCAAAAAAAGTGTCCTCTCACCCGCCACCCCCCCCCCCCCCCCCCCCACCTTGAAAAAAATCGTGCGTACGCCACTGCATGTACCAGAAGGCTCGTTGTTCCGAATGTTCTTTTTACGAAGATTTGTAATACCGAATGTCAGTTTTTACGAAGGTTCGTCACCACAAAGGTTCGTCATTCCAAAATGTTCGTTTTTACGAAGGTTCGTTATTTCGAATTTTCGTCTTTCCTAATACATGTAACCGTTTTTAAATAGTTTCTTCTTTCTGATGTTTCGTCTTTATTCCAGACTTTCGTCATTCCGAATATTCGTTTTTATAGAAGGCTGTCAAACCCACTGTCCGTTGTTTTAACGAGATTTCGACACTCCTAATGTTCATCTTTAGAGTTTTTTCGTCATTCCGAGTTTTCCTTTACCATTTGGATGTTATCACGAATGGTAAAGGAAAATGTTAGGTCACGTTATGTCTATCTACTTTTTTGCCTACCTCTCCTTTTTAGCCTCCTCCCCTCACCCCCTCCCACTCTCTCTCTCTCTCTCTCTCTCTCTCTCTCTCTCTCTCTCTCTTTCTTTCTCTCTCTCCCTCATCTCTCTCTTCTTTCTAGCCTCCCATCTCCCCCTCATCCTCTCTCTCTCTCCCTCTCCCTCTCTCTCTCTTTCTCTCGCCCTCCCTCATCTCTCTGCCCCCACCTGCTCCTCTTCCTCTCTGTCCTCCCACACTGATCACCATTCCTAGATGAGACGAGCTCGTAATTTGCTTGTTATTGTTTTCATTTCTCTGCCTGCCCGCTCCGATCCCAGGTACGACGGGACGCTAAATAGTTAGCCGATGGGAATGAGGTCAAGTTGACAATGTCCACTTGGCCCGGCATCGTCAGGCCCTTGTTATCGTCTGCCAGACTAGCTTCTCCGCGGTGGGCATCCATGAGGAGACGTTTCATCTCGTTACCATGGTGAGCGGACTTGATGCGGATTTGATACGCTGATGGACGATGGATATTAGGGACGTGGCTGTGAGAAAGGTATCGCAAACAGAAAAGAAGAACATATCTTTTGGCTTACACTTGTTAATAAGCATTCGATTTACAGTGTCCTTCGAGAAATTCTGTTCCGATGCACATGACAATTAATTGCATACAGACCCTGATACGGACCTTACTTCTCCTAGTTCGAGAGTATACGCAGATATATTCTTTAATTTCATTCTGCAGATCCTAGATCCAGGAACATGCCGAAAAACCTGCAAGAGAAAAACCTCAAGAAAAGTTGACTTGGGCAACTTGTTCCCAACCCAAATATTACTAGGGGTCGTACATAGCCACTTACTCCAGGAGCTGAAACAGGAGTTACCCCCTCCACAGCCCTTTACGATGTAAGCCTGTGGTCATCCCCATATTAAAGTAGCATGGCCAGCTAAAGAGGGGTCTGACCTTCCCAGTTGAACTTGATGTTTTAATCAAATGTCAAATGTAAGGGCATGCGCCCAGCAAGAGCAGGGATTCGAACCCTCAACCTTGCGACTGAAGTTGACAGGACTAACCTTCAGGGAAGTTTGATGTGTTTGGTAACTTAACCCGTTTCAATTAATTCATCTATGTTTTCAATTTTTAAAAAATTGTTTAGAATACGCATATTTTTTAATGAATTTCCAAATGGACCAATAGAATTAATCTGAATCTGAATCTGAATTGAAATGAAATGGGCAAGGGAACTCGAAAACAGTAGAAGAATCGATGTTTTTATACGTCTATCTTTTCACAGACAAAAATGAGAACAGAAATCGAAACGAAACGGTATCATAACGATTGTAAATAATCTCAAGAAATAAATTTCAATACTCCATTCATTGTACATGAATTGCCTAAAGAAATAATGTTAGGATTACGTAACTTGCCATCGTCATAATTATTCGCACATATCAATAGGTGACGACGAGGTTATTGACGTTTTTCTTAGATTGATTTTTGTTAAAGTCTCTGCGAGCGTGCTAGTAGCATCTTCTTCTCGACTCCTCTTTCCTCACCTGCAAGTCTTCGTGCATGACCCCTGGAAGATGAACTCTCTTCCCACCTGTAGAATGTTATGGGAATAGAGCAGAGTGGTCAGTCAGTCAGAATTGACCGTTCACTTGTCACCTCGTTTATCTCCTACCAAGAACTTTGTCATAAATCGAAAGATGATCTAATCACTCTAGGGTGACCGTGAAACCTGATCAGGTAGAGTTGTCATACTCCAAAAGAATCTGGGTGGGGTCGCCTCGTTATATCCATCGCACACGATGTGTCTCTTCGATTGCGCCATTCCCTGCGCTAATCCATCTAAGAGATGATCTAACCACTCTAAGATGACCTTGAAACTTGATCAAAAGAATTTGGGTGGGGTCGTCTTGTTATGTTCGTTGCATACGATGCGTCGATTCGATTGCGTCTTTACCTGCGCTAATCACTCAAGCGAAGGAAGCTAGCCCATACTGGTTATTAAAAGCACTATGTTAGAACCATTCATTTTACAATTGCTCCTAAATGACTCGTCAAAGACCACAGCTGTCACAGACGCTGGCAAATTACGCCTCGTGTGCAGCGTATTTATTATGGACCGTTGCGTCAATAGAATACAAGCCACAGAGACAGCGTCAATGAAATCATGAATCATCAGAATAATTACCGAAAATCTATAAGAAACTCTTTGGAAAAACAGGTATATGCGCAGGAAAGTGTGAAGACGACGGGGGGGGGGGGGGGTCTCTTCCATGTATTATATTCTTCTCCCAGAGAAGAATAGAGCGTATATTCGTGCACGAAGAACGCAGAAATAATAATCATGATAAAATTGAGACAATAACGGAAAAGAAGGGGAAAGTAGAAAGTAAAACAAGTATATGCATACAACCCAAAGTCCAAAAAAGGAAACATCGAAATAAGACATTTCAAATCCAAGCTTGAATTCCGAATTATCATCTACACAAGCAGATAGGGGATAAAAGATGCGCATCCTTATCATGATTGGGAGATGATGACCGATGGGGGCTGTCATAGGAGTAGGTGGGGGTCGTCAGGGGTCGGTGAATGAACCCATAAGCAAGACCACCTGACCCCACCCTAGAAAGGTTCAATCTACAAAGTTTGTTGCAGGGCTTCTAGTTATTTAGGTTACATGTATATAGTCTACCAGGCTGACGGTCCACGAGACTTACAGCCATTAGAATGTTTGAAGGGGCAGTTTGTGTCCCCCTGACAGATTTCCGACCAAGACAAAACAAAAGTTTTCACTTATAGTATTGGGGAGGACATTATTAGAAAGTTAATGACCATTACAAATTATGTTAAACCTTGTATAGTCTTGGATGTTTTCTCAATCATGTATGTTAGGCTGCTGCGCTCGCTTGCAAATTTCCTTAGGTTGACTGGAACCCGTTGTTGACTAATTTTGCAAATACAATGTAATATCTCATCGAAATCAAAATGTTAACATTTTGAATTTACGAATATATGGGTAAGGGAAGTATCCCCTACCCGCCCACATTATTTAATTGATTTTCTTTTTTTAATACATCGACCATTGACTAGAATACCCCCCCCCCCTTGACACTAATGTCCAGATATGCCATGACCGACAGCCCACGAGATCGTTATGTCGATCAGAAGACCAAAATTGTCGGTCCGTTCATTAGTTGTCAGTTGTTATTGTTGGTCTTGTGGACTGTCGGTCTCTTTAGCTGTGGGTCTACTTGGGGTCCCCGTTCTTCCCACCAAGTGGCTTCAAAAATACACTTAAACAACAAATTTACAAGGCAACGAAATGTGCCCTTTCTGCACATGCAGACTGTAAAGTGTGCCAAACTTGGTGCGAAAAAAATATTCTTATTATCTTATCATTCTTATGCAACTCATATTTCCATGATATCTTCTTCTTCATCATCCCGACCTTATTCACTAAGAATATTTCAAATGGTGAAGCTCCAGATTATAAGTAGGAAATGTTCAAAATAAAATCGACCCCGTATTCCCTTCGAAATAAAAAAATGATATTTGTTTACCAAAATCAAGAACAAATAATTGCAAAAGGATGTTTATTTATTGAGCCGCTCTTCGTTTTAATAGAATCCCACAAAATATTCACGAATTTACTTCTACTGGGCCTTTTAAAAACAGCCTTAACAAATAGATGTTTTTCAAGTTAAAAGAATGTTTAACAAATCTACTCCTTAACTTGGATTGTTACCTTCTTCTTTTCCTGTAGTAGTTAAACTATATATATATATATATATATATATATATATATATATATATATATATATATATTTGTTTAATTTATTGTGTCTGCATCTTTTGAATCTTTTGTTTTCTGGCCCCTTGGAAGACCATCATCAATAACATACTTTTGCAGCTGATTGTGGGTCTCGAGCCGTATGATTCCCATTATCTCTCTTGTATTGTATTTCGTTTTTCTTTTAAATTGTACTGTTTTGTATTTGTATTTTATTTTCAAACTTACGGAAATAAAAACAAACAAACAAAACATCACGAGGGTCCGTGCTTCTAAAGAGGTTTCTATGTAGTTTCAGACTGACCTGCACACGATAGCCTCTCTCATACCAGGTCAAAGGGCACGATGGACTGTCCCTGCTTTTATAGATTGCTCACTAATGACATTTAAATCTGTGCAAACTTTCGTCCACCGTACTTGAACTTGAAATTAGTAATTTTTGTTCTTAGTTCCGCTATTGCCTTGTTTATTTGCTGATATGATATTTCATATATTTGAATTCTTCGTTAAATCTGTGCTTTTTGCCATAGGAACGGGGGCTGAGCCAAGATGAAAGTTACCCGGAAGAGATTGCTGACGCCGGATGCAAACCGGATACCAAAACGGATGTCACAAAAATTTAACGTTTAATCGCAGGTAAATGGAGAAAAAAAAGAATATCATATTAACAGAAAATAATTGATTTGGGACTCAAATAGGATCATAAAGATAAAATTACAATTTTGATATCATGTTTAAGGAGTAATAAATCATCGGTTTATCTTCAAATACTGCAGTTTATGTTTCCTCATAATAATTATTTGGCGCAATAGATCTACAGGGGTTGGGTTGGACGAGAATAGCGTCATGATGATGAGAAAGAAGACCTCGATGAAAGGCGCCATCTTTGAAATGTTGGTGCCAAACATTTTTAGTTGACTATACGCTCAACGAGTCACGGACGTATTTTTTAAATTGTTTTTGTTGCTCTTTGGTTGCTTTTTTTTTTAAACAGAGGATGTAAAGACACCATAAATGGGTAATTTATACTCTAAAGGCTAAATGGAAAGCTCTGAAAATGATCTATAATAAAAGAGCATTTTTTGTTTACACCAGACATTTTTTCAAGTGCTGACTAAAAATAAGATGTTAGAAAATATAAACACTGAACTCGGAATGGATATATGTAGGGTATGTATGCAATCGAACAAAAAGCAGAACGTGCGAATGCTGAATTATTAAAATCTATATTTTATATATTTCATTTAAAACACCATTTTCACATGTAAGTTACCAACATTGGAAAAAAAGGGAATGTGAAAAACACAAGACATGAAAGTACATACGATTATTGATGAATAAAGAAATAAGGTTACTGGTACTGTACAACAAATTATGTCATGATTTATTTGGCTTTATAAATCGTTTTTTTTTTCTTCTTCTTTTCCCATTCATACAGATTACAAAATGAAAATGTGCTTTAAAACATGACATCAGCATAAATATTGAGTTATTTTAAGCCTCTATGCATATCTTTATTTCAGTTTCTCCGTATTACTTGCATTTGAAATTAACCTTAGATTCTAATCACTTGTTGTTACTAAATAATTTAAGCATGGCCCCTTCCAATTTGCGATAGTTTACATTATCAATTTGGCCGTGCGTAGATGCTACTGAGACCACATAAGGGTCGATTGGATGTAATTTGGCAACCGGGGAGTCCCGACTTAACCAATTAACGTTACTTTATGAAATCCCAAAATCTGGTATATTTTTGATATATTTTGACCCAGTGTGTCATAATTATGCCTGGCCAACCAATTAAACAAGTGGTTTTGAAGCTCCCCACACCGAATTTTCCTGCAATAGGCCTATTTACCCTCCCTCCCCCCCCCCCCCCCTCTCCCCTTCTCTCTCTCTCTCTCTCTCTCTCTCTCTCTCTCTCTCTCTCTTTCTCTCTCTCTCCCTCTCTCTCTCTCTCTCCCTCTCTGTCTCTCTGTCTCTCTGTCTCTCTCTTTCTCTCTTTTTTTCTTCCCTTACCTAATTTATTATTTCCTGCCCTGTCATGTCCTGTCAAAAATAGTCTCGAGAAGCTCTTGTGCTCATCATCATCGGAATATGTGGATGTGTTGGTAGTATTTTACGTAATCTTACATATAACAGTGGTAACATTTTTTGGCCAAATACAGGGTGTTGAGGAAATATGGCCCTCATAATTTGTCAGCAATCATTTTTTTCTTCTAAACTTGCCGACGTGCGTCTTGGAAGAAAAAAAAAAAGTCACGTTACGCAAAATAAACGAGTCATTGGGTTATCTAAAACGCTGAAAGAATTTTCTTTGGGGTGGCAGCTATCTCCCCTTTTATTTGATATTCGGCTGATGATAACTCCAAGAGTGAATTACCAATTGGTCTACAACAAGTTCGTCTACTATCTAATCAGTATATTCCCATATGATCTACACCCAGCCCGTCTACTATCTACATGGTCTTATAATCATTTCGTCTACATGTACTTATCATTAATTTGGTCGAATGACTATTTAGGCTGATAGTAATTTGTTTTAATTTCCATATGGTCTAATCTCTAATTAGTCTAGTACCCACTCGGTCTGGTAGCCATTTAGTCTAATTGCCAAATAGTCTGATTCCCAGTTTGTTTAAAGCTTATCTGCCATAGTTTACAGGAGGGATTAGACCGCCCTGCAAGGTCACTGGACAGGTGGTTATCTCATCAACTCAGCTATCAGTTAACATAAGAAAAAGAGGATCATGGGGGACCAATGGTCACCGATTAGGCATTGTTTGTTATATAGAGGGCGCAGGTAGCTACAAGTAGTGCAGTGGGGCTTTAATGCTTATTTTGTTTCTACAATCCATAACGACCAATAATCATTTGATGATTATTGTGATTTAAGATTGAATTATCATTAGACCATACGGATATATGCCAAAAATGAACATCAGACAAACTGGGAATTAAACTAAATGAGCAATATACCAAATAGGTACATTGTAATAGACCTGGGGGGTGTTTCACAAAGATTCTAAGTAGAACTTAACTCTAAGTTGGACTTAAAAATTATGGACAGCCATTAGCATCTTTGAAAATATTTGGTAAAAATATTTTTGAAAGGCATAAAATGTTTATTCAAATCATTCATATTTTCTATCATCAAGGAGATTTCATATTCTTGTTGTGGAATTTATAAAATGTCTAAAATACTTGAATTTCTGCTTTTGAGTATATTTCATTTTAAGGCCCCAATGGCTGTCCATAATTTTTAAGTCAAACTTAGTGTTAAGTTCTACTTAGGATCTTTGTGAAACACCCCCCAGGGGTGTTTCACAAAGATCCTAAGTTGAACTTATCTCTAGGTTGGACTTAAAAATTATGGAGAGCCATGTGTAGCCTTAAAATACAATAAAATCAAAAGCAAAAATCCAAGTACTTTAGCCTTTTTATAAATTCCCCATCAAGAACATGAAATCTCCCATGATAATAAAAATATATGATTGATTTGAATCAACATGTTATACCTTTTAAAATAGCATTTACAAAATATTTTCAAAGATGCTAACGGCTTTCCATAATTTTTAAGTCCAACTTAGAGATAAGTTCAACTAAGGATCTTTGTGAAACACCCCCCCCCCCCACCCCCCAGATTGTGTTATCCAACGCATCCGACTGTGTAAGATGTCTCCCCAGGGCTTACCTAGGGGAGCGGGGGTGAGAACCTTATCCTCTCATCGCATCAAAAGTGAAACAGCGGCCGTGTCTGAAATCACAAAATTTCACATTTTCCATCTGTTTGCTGATGTACACCGTAACCATATCTTCATTTCACTGTTGATAGAGACTGTAATCATAGATATGTTATTGTTGCTTTTCCTGCTGATTCGCTAGTGTAACTGTGTCTCGAAGTGATAGTTTCATAGTTTATGTACATTGTAACAAGATATAATTTGATCTATACGTTGTATTTTCCATCGAACACTTTAAAAACTATAGCATTATGTTTTACTCCAATAACGTGAGATTTAACGGAGCCTTTTCTCTTTGATGATAAAATAAAATCGAATCACATCACATCAGATATTATATAATTTGTAATCATCATCTACTGCCTACCCCCCCCCCCCCCCACACACACACACATACACAAAGAAGAAGAGAGAGATGGGGGAGGGGAGGGGGAGGGGGAGGGGGGTCTCTATGTAGTCTCGTTCGTCTCTGTTCTTGATCATCTCGGAAGAACACCTGTTTTGATCGTCCCATTCACTATGGATGAACCCGAAGAAGGAACCGACAGTCCATGAGACCGACAACCCATTTGACCAACAGCTCCCTCTTGGGCCTTTTAAAAGGACTGGGTGACTTTCACATTCTTAAACAAAATCCTGGATTTAGCTCATGCTGCAATGATAATTATAAACTTTTAAGTCAGTCAGGAACCCCATCATACAAGCCTATCCCCTGTCTGATTATCAAGATATTTATCATTGGAAATCGAAATCAAATTTTACGTTTTCCTAACGGTTTTCATAACATTACAGTTTACTGGGTAAAACGAGTATGGTAAAACCGGTCACTCAAAGATTTTAACTTATTTGAGTCACTTCTTGGTCATTTTGAAGCGCAATTTTTGTAGGGCTTCAATTTTACACCATAACACGTAGGACCGCGCATCTCAGATTTAACATTGTTAAACGATGCCTTTAAAAGTTATCTAGAGATTCACGAGACCGACAGCCCACGAGACTCAACTTGACGTTCTCATGGGCTGCCGGTCTTCCGCGATCCCCATGTAGGCCTACATCTTTTCTGCGTGTGCAAATATGTACCACATTATAATCACTTTAGATAGAATATTACTTTTCACTGTATTGTTAATAGAGCGATTCAGAATCAGCTATAACACCAATTAAAGTAATAATTTATTATCATGATTATTCATTCTATCACAAAACATTTATCTTGAAATTAAGTAATCGATTTATAAACGAGATCACAAATCATCCAAAGCTTTGTTTTCTAATTTCAGTTACATTTTGGCTTTCAGAAAGCTTCTAAAAGGTTTGTGCAACTGAGTATTGACCTTAGAACTAGCACAAATTACAAAAATGTGCTACATGAAAGAAAATTACAGTAAGCATCAGGCACTCGGGAAAGAAACTATCCGTAATGTAAACTCAGTTGGGAATTGGCATTCATTTTGATTAACAACGTACCATTTCAAACGTATCTCTTCTGACAGTTTTCGAACGGTAGAGGGCGACAGCTAATAAAGAGCACAGCTGCATCAGAAGCCAACAGTACAACCAGTGTTCTGTAAGTGATCCGCGTACCTTGGGACAAGTTGAGGATGTGCCCCAGGGCTGCCACGTGGACCCGTTATGGGCACGCGACGGGAGTGCGATCTGTTTATCAAGGAATTAACCGGATTTTGAGATTTAAAAGGAGATGTTCGATTGATCTCTTTGATATTGGTCATCTTGTTAAACATTGACCAGGGATGCATTTCCACGGTTGACCCAACATTATATATGGTAGATATGCCCGATCAAATTACTTTGAGGTCAAATCTTAGAAGTGATTAACCCATTCAAAGTAAGGGGAAAGGTGATTACGAAAACGAAATAAAAGGGATGATGAAAATGAAGTCGAAAATCATGTGTCCTGTTAATTATTTATTTGTTTGAGTGAGAAACTGCATGACAGAAAACAAAATATCGAGAAGGCTAATCGCATAATTATGTCCAAGTATGACTTTTTCCCGTAGGGGAGGGGTTGAGTAGAGGCTGGGGATCATACCCCCCCCCCCCTCCCCCGCAGAAGCGGATCATAACAAATATCGGGCTGCCTCTTTAATATTTAAAATTCTCTGACAAGCGAAATGGAAGAAAAAGATTAAAGACCTTCAATACTAAAATTAATTTTTAAAAAAGCGTTGGCACACCTTTGGGCAATGAACTAAAAAGTATACCACTTTGATTTCAAACAGGGGGCACGGGCCGTTTCCCCCCCCCCCCCTCCCGCCCCCCCCCCAAAAAAAAAAAATCCGCCAGTGAGTCTCCACCCTACCAAAACTATCGAGCTTGTTAACTCCAAACATCGTGCTTCTCTTCGGGACAGGAAGAAGAACAAACACAAAATTGGCTTTGAAGCGATGCGCCTTAAACACCTGTTAAACACATCAAGCCTTAAAGAGATCTGTTCGCTTCAAATCGCATGGTATTTCTGCCCTGATCGTTCTCATCCAACTCCCGAATACGGAATCTTATTCTTTCTCTGTGATGTCTTCTCTTCTAAACGATTCTTCCAATCGTTCACCCCTCAACAGCCCCTCTTTGACGCCCCTCCCGTTTCCCTTTTCCTCCCGTCTTGCTCTCTAATGGAATACCTGTTTTGGTGTTTATTGAGCCTCTCTGTGTGTCTTTAGATCTCCACCTGCCTTAGGTCTTTGCTTGCTTCTTATTTGGGAGTATTTCTCTTCGATAAGACGAAAAGTCTCCCCAGACTGCAGGGGCGGATCCACGATTTTCCAAAAGGGGGGGGGGGGGGGTCGTGAAATGTACGAAATGGCGAGCGTGAAACCTTTACTGCGTGGGGTTCGGGGCACGCTTAAGGCTCCGGAAAACTTTGAACCTTAAGATGCGCAATGATACATTCTGAGGCAATGAGTAAACTGAGCATTCATGTGCGTGTATTTTTTTTTGGGGGGGGGGGGGGCTTGCGCCCCCACGCTTCCACGCATCCGGACTGTATGCCAGTGTGTGACAGAGGGAGAAAGAGGGATGGAGAGAAAGAGAGATGGAGAGACAGAGGGAGAAATGTCAGAGGGATGTCAGAACATATTTCACTACAGTACCCCATTACTAAGACATTACAAATCTTCGCCACGCGACCACACATGTTCCCCTCACGTCAAAGTCTCCACGGTGTAAAACAATACAAGGCAATAAAAATATCGCGCTGTTTATAACTTCACATACATTACTTTCCCGCCATGCCGATAACAGCGCAATATGACATTCAAATGCATCAAAATGTTATCAACAATGTTGCTGGCGATGTCACGCCGGGTTAATGTATGGAAACAATGTCGGGTTTTCTTTGATTTTTTTTCAAAGCAGCAAGGGGAAATGACGACGGGCCTGCCATCCATCTTTCATTTTGGTGTAATTGTTATCACATTCAGTGCTTGTTAAAAAAACCGGGTGGTCCATACATCAGGTGATTATATCATATTTGTGAAAATATGGCGACAGGTTTTCAACCCAAAAAAAATGAACACTGAGATTTAGAGGAATAGGTGAGTGATTAGATATTTTCACGGAGACCAAGATGGGGTGGGGTGGGGTGGGGTGGGGTGGGGTGGGGGCGAAGGGTAAACTAAACCATGTGTGCAATGTCCTCCATAGGTGTACCCTCAAACATGTTCTTCTGCATATACCATCCCCTCCTCCCTCTTCCTCTTATTCAAAATACAGCGGCGCTTTTTAAGAGGTATACAATTTTGTTTCTTTCTGTTTTCGGTGGTCTTGAAATGTTCTTGAGTTATTACTCTGGGTCTTTTCTTCTATCTTCCACATGGCTTTCATCAGGTCCATGGAATCCATTGTTTTTATAGTCGGTCTTGGATATGTAATGATAGCAGCATCATAAACAACAACAAGAAAAGAATGATAATGAATAGCCTACAAAAGGAATACAATCAGATGATCAATTTCTCAGATGAAAAAAAATGATAAGACGAAGATGGTGATATTGGCAAGTGCATTCGATATAGGAGGTAATTTACTTTGGAAAGTGAAGAAGGAAAACTCACTGCACTCTATTTTCATTTTGGCACAACTATTTCTTTCAGATGTCATGAATTCCCCTAAAGGCTATGACGTACACACTCGAAAAGGCGAACATGTGTATAATTTCATTCATTTTCGACCTCGAAAGTGGCAGAAAATAAACGAAAGAGGGCGACAATGCATATTCTCCCCTGGTGTATAATTGCCCCTCCCCTGCTTTCGTCGCCTGTATAATCACATGGTGTATATTGTTTTGTCTTCTTTTTTCACCCGATGTAAGGAATTCTCAATTCAGCGTTTATATTTTATGATTTATATTAAATAAACCATATTTTATTTCCAAATAAAATTTACCAGGCTTTTCGTTTTACAAAGTCATTCCAATTTAGATACGAGAAATATACATAATATGGTATATGTACGTGCAATACAGTAACAGAGATCATTGCTTCCTGTAATGCGGAGGAAACCTAGGAAAACATAGCTTGTTATTTAGGTTACCTAACATAAAATGTCATAGTATCATAAAGAAAATGCAAGGAAAAGAAAAGATGAGGAAAAGAAAAGATGGGGAAAAGAGGAGGATACATGACAAGTCAAGCAGTAACACAAGAACGGGACACATTGGTTACTATAAATCAAATTCCGAGGGAAAGTGTGTATTATAAACATGAATTAAGGCATGCATTTGAAGCAAATGAGCATAATGTTACATGGATTCCTAGTTAACTAGCTTTAACTTCAGATTACGCTTACATGAAAATAGACTTGGTGAGCGCTTGAAAGACTCATCAAGAAAATTCCAAAAGATTGGGCCAGTGTAAATTAAGGTTTTCTGTTTACAAAGAATTCTTTACATTGGACAATAGTTATACGAAGACTATCTTGTTGGGTAATTGTGGAATCTCTCATTTTATTTTAAGTAACAAAGTTAATACATGAGGCAACTCGTCCAGAATATAGAATCAAAGAAACAATAGATATGTGAAAAGTCGAAATCAATACTATTATGATCGTCAGCAGCATTAGTAACATCTTTTGTACCGTCATCATCATAATCGTAAACATTATTGCCATCATACTGATCAAACGTGCTTTAGTATTATATTCAACAACAATAATGATGAACATCATCGTTATTATGTTCATAATCGTCATCATCATCATTCACATAATGATTCTAACCTCTTTACATAATTAACATTTATATTAATTAAATGAAGGAAACTTAGATAGTTAACATGGTGATATGAATATTCATATGGAAATACAAAAGTATGACAAAATGTATGAGTGGAATTGTACCTTCGATGTCGAAATCATCTTTGTGCACAAATTATTTAGTATAGGACAATATGACATTTGATTCTTCTTCCTCCTTTTCTACTTTTTACCTACAAGAAAACTTTTCAACAGTATAACTGGCACCCTGTCTCTAACAAATCTCCGTGTTTCTTTTTACCCCTTTCCAAATCCACCTCTCTCTCTCTCTCTTTCTCCTTTTCTCTCACCCTCTCTCTCTTTCTCTCTCTCTCTCTTTCTCACACCCTCTCACCCCCCCCCCTCTCTCTCTTTCTTTCTCCTCTTTCCCTCTCTCTCTCTCTCTCCCCCCTTTCTCACTCCCTCCCCTATCTCCTCTCCCTCTCGTTGCTTCTCTGGTACTGGATTTAAACCTGGTTATTTAGAGATCGGTTTTTGTGCTACGACGGCATCCCAGTCGTTGTTGTAGAGAATCGTCCCGTCCTCTTTTCGCTCGGAACACTCTTCGGACCCAATATAATCGACCACCTCTTTGTAAAACTCTGGCGACGCCGAGCCGTGGAAATCGACGATTTGGCTGATGAAGTCGACGAGGAGTTTTCCTTCCTTGGACCCCTTTTCGAAACAGCTTGTGATGTCCACATGCGCCCTCTGGTGGTTTTCGTCGAAAGGGATGTCGTGGAAAGGGATGTCGTGGGAAGAGAGGCCTTGTCGTAAATGTTGGACGCAAAAATAGGGTCCGATTATGTCCTGTAAACGGGGGAAGTGGTTCCACAGACGCCAGGAACCACTGATATCTGTAACGTGGAAAATGTGGATAGGTGTTATGATGGTTGCACACGTCTATCATTTAATTTTCTTTTCATTTCATTTTGTTATTCATCTGTCCAAATAAAATGTAGGAGGGGGAAAGAGAGAGAAATAGAGAGAGAGAGAGAGAGAGAGAGAGAGAGAAGCATGGGAAAGGGAGTGGAAGTCAGAGCATTCAAAAGACAAAGAGAAATACAGAATGAACGTGGTAAGAAGGGAGGGGTGTGAGATTAAAATAATATGACTCATTTCACTTCCAATAATAATTACACAGAGCACCTGAAAGACATATCAGGCCTAGCAATGTTTGAAAGAACTCCGTACATCTCACCTGAGATAATGGTTATTAACAAAATCCCGCCCTCCTCCAAGCAATCGTAGAGATATCGTATGGTGTCATTAAAGTCATCAGCATAGTAGAGGGACTGGATGGCGTTGATGAAGTGATATTTGGAGGAGTGGTTGCCCTCGAGGGCACGGTATTCGTCGATGCCGAGTTGTCGAAGGTCGAACTCGATGCCTTCGAATTCAGACTTCTTGCTCTCTACGAGTGAGCGGTACTTCTCAAGCTGTTTTTCGCCAGGTTCCACCACGACGTTTCGGACAGATTTGAAACGGGTCTTGATGCTTGCTGCCATTTTACTGTCCATCTCCCCTTTCAAATAACAAAAATATAACAATAGATAATAAAAGACAATGCCTACTGAGCGAATTCTTTTCGAAAACAGTTGTGCAGGGTTTTAAGACATAGTTTTGACCTAAAGGGGATTAAAAGTACATAATTATGGGAGAGGGGCAAAGTCCGTTTTCTCGCCTAATCTGGGTTCAGTCGCCGGTTGCTTGGGCGCGTATGTTTTTTTTATTTACACGCAAGCCACTGGCATTTCATGATTAATTTAAATGAAACCGCTCGCTGACAGTCTAGATTAGACCGTAGAACATAAATAGCTCTAACCACGCTGGTTGTGCCCCGGCCCCCGACTCATGGGCCCGAATTCACAAAAGAGGTTTATCGACAAACCGAGGTGTATGTACGTCTGGGACGCGTTTTGACGCGTTTTTTACAAACCTGGTTTATAAATAACAAAAGGAGGTTTGTCGAAACAAAAGGAGGTTTGTCGACAAACCTCCTTTGTTAATTCGGGCCATGGAGTCGGAGGTGAAATATCCAGTAAAGGGGTATTTTTTCGCGCAACAAAGTCCGGCCTGCCATTGACTTTCACACCGGAGAAAGGGGGTGCTTTCAAAAAGAAGGAACATGCATACGCGTACACTAAATAACACTGAGAAGGGGGGGGGGGGGTTGGGGGGGTTGGGGGGGTTTTAGGACAATTAACCCTTGGCAATCAACCCCGGGAAATTACCCCCCGGAAAACTACCCCCCCCCCCAAGGACAACTACCCCCCGAGGACAATTACCCCTCTAGGACAACTACCCCCCGTGGACAATCAGGATTCAATAGCAAAAGACGATTTGACACATTGAGAGACGGCTACGTGCCCATAAGATCCCATGCATGAACCCTTATACGTTTAAATACTATAGCACGTTATCTTCCTCATTTGTACACATTTCCCTTTGATTATGATTTATGCAACGCCAGTGCGGTTGCTGATTTTTACGAAGGATGTAAAGGCCCGGTCACACATAGGGGACGCATGGGGGACGAACGGCCAGCGCATTGGAAATTTGCAATTTTTGCCAGTGTGTTGTCGTGCGTTAGGTGTGCGTCAACATTCGTTACTCGTTCGTCGAGCGCGCTGGACCAACGCTGGACCAACGCTATGCATTCGTCGTCATTCGCTGTGTGCGTCGGGATTTTTAAGCATGTGCGCATGTGAGCATGTACGCTGAGCTCGACGCATGAATGTAAACGCCAAAAGGACGCCAGACATACGCGGAGCGCGCTAGACCAACGCTGGGCATACGCCGAGCACAGCGCGCTAGAAACACGCTACACATTAGGTGTCAGCTCGCTAGCTTCTCCCAAATCCTGACAAAAGTCGGGCGCGCAACCTTTTCCGATTTTTAATGCGCGGGCCATGCGTCGTCTATATGTGACCGGGCCTTACGTTTTAGGATAATTGCCCAGCGCTTCTCAAAATGCATAAAAATACATTTCTCTGGAGCAGCGTTATTTCAACTTTTTGTTAGTCACAGTACCCTCTTAAGAAATGAAAAGATTCTCCTCGATCCACAAGGCTTTACAGAATATGTATTCTGCATGGCTCTGGCACTCGTCAAGAAGAATAAAAAGGAGAAGAAATTTTTCAAACTGGAAAAAATATTAGTTTGTAATCAACACACTAGAAACGATTTAAAGTACTGTATGCGGGTACCTGGCCGCCGAATGTACATAAATAAAAAGTGATATAATCGGTCATGACCTTGATACACGAATATGAGGATATTCGGGCCCGGCCCCGCCCCCCCCCCCCCCACTCAGTGTTATTAGGGTACGCATATGCGTGTTCCCAGCACCCCCTCCCCTTTTCAGCATAAGTCCGGTGTGTAAAGTCAATACGGGTAGACCTTTTCTTTTGGTAAACAGCCTTTTCAGCACCCCCCCCCCCTCTTAGCATAAGTCCGGTGTGTAAAGTCAAAGAAAGAAAGAAGAAGAAGAAAAGAAAAGGGGGATATCAAGTTGCAAGTTTCCCGCCAACAAGTTGTACTTCCGGAGGAGGGTCAAAAGTCCCCACCTAGGGCCCTAAAGCGGGCCCCTGGATGCGAATCTGACGGTAATTTGATGCTTTAAACCCCTGAGCTTCTGATGGATCTCCGCCCCCTGGACCTTACGCCAATTCGTGTCCTGACAGTGTCACAGAGAAGGTATCAAAATATGTTCATCTGATCGTAATTAAATGCCTAAAACCCCTGAGCAGTTATTTCAACTTTTTGTTAGTCACAGTACCCTCTTAAGAAATGAAAAGTTTCTCCTCAATCCACAAGTCTTCACAGAATATGTATTCTGCATGGCTCTGGCACTCGTCAAGAAGAATAAAAAGGAGAAGAAATTTTTCAAACTGGAAAAAATATTAGTTTGTAATCAACACACTAGAAACGATTTAAAGTACTGTATACGGGCACCTGGCCGCCGAATGTACATAAATAAAAAGTGATATAATCGGTCATGACCTTGATACACGAATATGAGGATATTCGGGCCCCGCCCCCCCCCCCCCCCACTCAGTGTTATTAGGGTAGGCATATGCGTGTTCCCAGCACCCCCTCCCCTTTTCAGCATAAGTCCGGTGCGTAAGGTCAATACGGGTAGACCTTTTCTTTTGGTAAACAGCCTTTTCAGACCCCCCCCCCCCCCCTCTTAGCATAAGTCCGGTGTGTAAAGTCAAAGAAAGAAAGAAGAAGAAGAAAAGAAAAGGGGGAAAAGAAGGAGATCGGGGGGGGGGGCTGTTACCTCGCCCCCCCCCCCCCACATAAAAAAAGAGAGAAGGAAGGAAAGGGAAAGAAGAAGAAAAGAAAAGGGGGATATCAAGTTGCAGGTTTCCCGCCAACAAGTTGTACTTCCGGAGGAGGGTCAAAAGTCCCCACCTAGGGGCCTAAAGCGGGCCCCTGGATGCGAATCTGACGGTAATTTGATGCTTTAAACCCCTGAGCTTCTGCAGGGTCTCCGCCCCTGGACCTAACGCCAATTAGTGTCCTGCCAGTGTCACAGAGAAGGTATCAAAATATGTTCATCTGACCGTAATTAAATGCCTAAAACCCCTGAGCTTCGGGGAATCCGCCCCCTCGACCCCATCAGGGGCCCTAAGGCGGGCCCCTGCATGCTTATCTAACCGTTATAAAATACCTAAAACCCCTGAGCTTCTGGGGTCTCCGCCCCCTGGACCACACGCCAATTAGTGGCCTGCCAGTGTCATAAATAAGGTATCATTATGCTCATCTGACCGTAATTAAATGCCTAAACCCCTGAGCTTCCGGGGCTCTCCCTCCTGAACCAAACCAATGACCCTAAGGCGGGCCCCTGGATGCTCATCTGACCGTTATCTATTTCCAAAAAACCCTAAGCCTCAAAGGGCTCCGCCCTCTGGACCCCACACCAATTCGTGACCTGCCAGTGTAACAAATAAGGTATAAAAATATGCTCATCTGACGCTAATTTAATGTATAAAACCCCTGAGCTTCTGGGGGCTCCGCGCCTGGACCCCACACCAATTTGTGTCCTGCTAGTGTCACAATTAAGGTATAAAAATATGCTCATTTGACCGTAATTATTGCCCCAAACCACTGAGCTTCAGGGGGCTCTGCCCCCTGCATGGCCCCACAACAATTCGTGTCCTGCCAGTGTCACAAATAAGGTATTAAAATATGCTCATCTGACCGTTGTTAAATCCCTATACCCCCTGAGCTTCAGGGGGCTCCATCCCTTAACCCTCGCAGGGGCGAAGACCCCACTAAAATTTACGCAACGCTCTACCTGATCGTAAATACCCCCCCCCCCACCTACTTAGAGAAACGTTCAGCGGGGCATACATGTAAGAGTGGGGCGGTGCGGATTTTTTGGTCCCCCCCCCCTCTCCGTCCCCAAACCATAATTCCAAATTTGGGCCCCCCCCCCCCCTCTAAGAAATCCTGGATCCGCGCCTGGAGGCTAGCCAGCGCTCAGCGAGCCACAGATTATCGATGATGCAAAGTGAGAATGTAAGTATACTTTGGGATGATTATAAATATAACTTTTCAGCTGTTGTGATCTCAGCTAGTATAAACTCTGTATTGACATGCATATTTCAACTTTAGCTAAATAATGCGATTAAAAATGAATGAGTGTTAGGATTCAACCTTTCCCCTCAATGCAACCCGCTTATTTGTTATGTAGATTAAAGAATTGGGTTGAATGCATTTGGTAGTTAGGCTCCACTGCACTCTACATAGCTCCAACAGGTGATGCATAGCTATAGTGGGTTGGTTGCCTTACCTAGCAGTGTAGTGTCACTATCTGCACACAAGTCATACAGGGAGGACCTATGGGTTGGAGGTGAATGATGAAAGTTGTTTCATAGCTCAAAATATGGCATTTTGCGCTGCAAGTATAAGTTCCATAGAGAGTCAAGATCACCAGAACCGACATTGAGGCCTGCCCCGATTCCCTGCATTTCAGTAAACCAGTCAAACTGTAAGTTTAATCCAAGTTTAATCCATATTTGTATTCCTTTTTATAATGATACATTGGGCGTGTACAGTCAAGGTCACAAGTGAACCTTTGAATTAGGGTTTAATAATGAAGACTGCAAATCATTTCTCTAAAGTAATAATGTAACTCTTTATACAATATTTTGTTCATTTCTGAATAATAAATGAAAGTATATGTTCGCAGGATTTGCACTCAGTAATTCAGGCTCTTGCGAATGTTGAAAGGATATTTGTAATGCAATGTAAACCATTATGATAGAAGCCTTTTCTGTAATGTATTTTATTGTATTGCCTGATGATGATTATAGTCTCGTTAACAGATATTAAGTAGATGATGAATAATTTAGTATTATTCCGTAGACTATTACTAGCCTGAGTTAATGTTAATTTTTAGATGGTGTTCCGGCTAGGACTTACAGAGCAAGTCCTCTTTCAAAGTTTCATGCCACAATAGGTGGATCTCTACCAGTAACGACGACGAAGAGTTGAAGGTGCTATTACAGATGGAGCAACACCTTCGTTACGGTGAACAAGTTCCAGCAACAGTAACAACTATGGTTTCTTTATTCCCATGAACAATATTTTAAAATCACATCTTGAGAGTGATTGCATCACTAAAGTGGGTTATTTTATTCATATCTTCAGACGCAGGATTTTTTCAAGGGGGGGGGGGGGGGGAGTTGCTCCCGGGGGGGGGGGGGGTAAGCGGACACTTTTTTTTTTTTTGGGAGTCCAAAAAAAATCGCAACGACTCAGCCAGCCGAAAAAGGGGGGGGGGGGGGGGGGGGGGGGTAAGCGGTCACTTTTTTTTTTTTTTTTTTGGAGTCCAAAAAAAATCGCAACGACTCAGCCAGCCGAAAAGTCGCTCAGTGGGGGGGGGGGGGGGGAGGGGGGGGGGGGCAAGCGGACACTTTTTTTTTTTTTTTGGTCTCGAAAAAAAAAAAAAACCCAAAGGGGGGGGTTTGGTTTTTTTTAAGGGGGGTTTACACACATAAAAATACCAAAGGGGGGGGGGGGTTTGAACCCCCAAACCCCCCCCCCCCCTGCGTACGCCCCTGCACACCTTCTACTATGCAGTCATCATGTGCATCAACTGGCCCCGCCCCTTTCCCAGGTGTTCCATCAATCAGCGTTCGATATTATGAACCGTTCAAGAATTAGAAACTCTCTCTCTCTCTCTCTCTATCATCCTTCTCCTGCATGTGGTATATCAATTAATCAAACTATTAACCAACCCTGGCAGGTGTTACGTGTGATTACTATACTGACATACAGGACTCATTACTCTCCTTCCTCACCTTGCGGTGTACTTTCACTTTCTGATCTAACATGTCGTATCCTTGCCCTCACATTTTTGTTCAATCCATGTAGCGATCCCTTGTTTGGTCTGGTAACATTATTGCTCCAGGTTTTATTTCGTCAAAGATAAAGCTATTGGGTTCTAGATTAAGTTTAGGGTTAGGGTTAATGTTAGATGCATCGTGAGGACCATGGTAGGGGTTAAGAAATTCGATAAGCATTCATAGAATTACCATTTCACTGCGGAGCATCTGTCACCAGAGAGTGTGTCGTTATATACTCTATCACATAATTATACCTCTAAAACAATTATTGATGACAGGAGAAGCCAGTGATGAGACAGTGCTCGCAGTTTTGATCTTTAAAATATTCTAGGACACGATTCACCCGTTCAAGAAAAACACTAATCCCCTCTTGGTAGGCCGAGAAGGAGCATAATGCCAATTTTTCTGTTTTTATGAAATAGTTAGAAATATGTTCAATAATTTCTATAATATATTTAGAAGGTTCTTTTACAATCGACTTCATAAGATCGTTAATACCGACGACAATACAAAGCTCTTGTAATATACAGCCTTCTTGCAGGCAGCCGACGTGTTCGAGTCAATGGAGAAGATTTTTTTTTGGCGGGGGGGGGGAGGGGGAATGATCAAAGTAATGGTTTGTCACAACGGTTGAATGTTGCGTCCAAATATAATTCATGAAGCCTGTATCGCAGGCTGCAACTTAATTTATCAAATTAATGTCTCCCGTGTGTAATCATAACACGAGCATTGTAAAAAGCATGTGCGATTGAATGAAACATTTCTCGGAATCGTAGATGCATTTAGTCAAAGAGACCTGGGAATTAATCCACGTAATTAGACCCCATGGAGTCCCTAATAATAGAGATAAGTCATTGTATTATATTTCTCCAATTAGCAAATTGCAGTCAAAGAGAATAATTTGTGCATTATAGACGAATATACAATTATCTAGATTGATCCACTCTCGAAATTTTACCACAAAGTGCTAAGAATGCAATCGCATAGACTTTCGAAATATTAACTCAACAATGGCCGCTTCAATGCCTTTGCATAATTATTATCCATAATGATTCATGTTCGAATTACATAATAGGCGCATGTGTCATTTAAAGAAAGAAAGAAGATGATGCACATGTCCTCTGATGCTTTTTAAATTAATTCTCTGCGATCGTCTTGTGTATGCACCCAGCACATGGATAGTGAGATGAAATGGACATCGCCATTGACGTAATGGGGAATCCCCCTGGCGAGATTCATATATCAACAATGTATATGAGAGCATATACCCACACCGCGGCATAACTCTGTGGGTATATTTAGCATGTGAACTTGGGTCATGCACTCTACGGAATCCAGTGCTTTCTCTTTTGGTGGGATGGCGGTGTATATAGCCATAAGACGCGTGCTGGGTAATGCGCAAAAGAGATTTGAAATAGAGTTTCTAACGTGAGGGGGCATACAGACATCGTAATTATTACAAAAGTTAAAGGGATCGTGTAACAATGTTAAATCTGAGATACACGGCCCTACGTGTTATCAGTGTCTCAATCAGACGATAAACCTACGACCATTTTTAGTATCAATACTCTGTACAAATGTGTTACTTTGTGACAGCTAAGAATACAACCTCAGGGTTGGCTTCAATATATTTTTTATATCTTTATATGTATTTCTATTGTGATAAGCAGTAAAGTAATAAAGATAAGAAGAAGATGATATTCTTTGATACACTTAACAGAATTTGAATTCTTTGTTTATTGTGTAAATCTTCCTGTGAATATGGGCTGGTATGGAGTTTGTTCCAGAGGGCATTGCATGTTTTTTATATAATGCCCACTCAAAAAATTCAATTATTTTAGAAAAAAAGGCTTGGGGGAGGGGGGGGGGGGTGAGTCGGTGATAAAAATATCAAAATAATTTATCCAAAATACACGTGATCAAAACTCGTTTTCGGAGTCTGAATCGAGTACAGCTTCGCGAGCCTTATCAAGGTTGAATAGAATATTATTTCGCGATCGCGCCATTTTGCTTTAGACTTATAATACTTGACAATAGCGAGTTGACCTTTGGCTTTTCCTTTCAAGTGCAGTGCAAGTGCATTGTTCGGCTATAGTTGTAAGCTTAGCGCTGCTCCCAATGAAATACCAGCAGTATCAGTATTCTGTGTATGGAAAGGTCTCAGCGAAAGTCAATATCTCTGGGACAGACATCGCGGAGCTGCATACGCTGCTGTACGAATTTCATGTGAGAGAAAACTTGACATGCTTATGAAAAAGTACAATTATAATGAATAATATGAAAGTTAAAAAAAGGAGTAATGGATAATGATATTATATACTTTGGGAAAACCCTCAAATCCACTAGTTTAGTAAATTAGTAGCAGGGAAAGGCAATTTTAGGCTTGTAAAGACATCATTTACCTTCCTGCCCGGAAGTAACGGGTTAAGCAGTAAGATTCTTACCCGATCCACTGCCGACTCCCAGCACATTAATCTGTGTCTCCGCCGAGAAACTCTCCACCAATTTATCCAATACCAGTTTCGGAAAGACGTCTTCAACCCATTTTACCAGTCCTGTAAACTTGCTGCTTTTCTTGGCAAAGACGTGGTACGACTTGGTGTAGTGGTCCAGATCATCTAGTATATATTTTAGTTTCGCCTTCTCCATGATTTCAGAATTAAGTTGACTAGTTTTGGCTTTGCTTCCGCTAAGTTAATATGTTAGAACGAGAGGCACGGGTGCACGGAGCTAGGAGAAATCATACGCTAATGGAGTCAGGCATTGAAACAATAATTGTAACTGTATGAGAATATGGTAATTTATTATAGGGGTGTTCACACCAACAGATATAAGTGGGATTTAAAAATCGATTTTTGCATCGCGATCCATATATCGGGTTGTGGGTGTGTGTGGACAGAATAATTTCATTAACCTTCGCGATTCGCAATAAATCTTGCGATTTTTCAGAATAATTGCGATGATTTGCCGGGCGCTGGCTGTGTTTGTGAATGGTATTGAAAATCAAAAATCGATTTATCTAATCCCGAACTCCAAGCGCGCATGCACACATTGTCGAGATCCATGCGTGCGCAGTTCGGACCCCCCACCCCCTACTCCGGGAACGGAGGGACCGCATGCGTGTTCCAAAAATCTCCGGCTCGTAACAAAGAAAAAGGTCTACCCGTATTGACTTTACACACTGGATCGGCTGGAAAAAAAAGGGGGAGTGCTGGGAACACGCATAATTGCGTACCCTACATAACACTGAGTAGGGGCCGGGAGTTCGGATTTTTGCATCGCGATCCAATTCGCACTAATTTAACACGTGTGAACGGTCGCCGAACAAAAATATGATCTTTGCATCGCGATCCAAATCGCACTAATTGTGATGTGTGAACGGGCCTTATGATCAGGTCCATGCTGTGATGTAGGACTGTGGTTATTATGAATGTGCCGTCACCTGTGACTGGGAGGTTAAAAGCGAACTGAATCACTGTAACCCTCTGATCTCTCCTTTTGTTAAAACCACTTATAATATGCTTTCTGGTCTTTTGAAATGCATTCAAATATGATTTTTCTTTTCTTTTCCCCGAGCAGTACTGACCCATAGACGGGCCTATAGACAGCTCTTTGTAATATGATTATTTTCGTCAGTACATCGTTCACATATTTTTTTTTTTACTCGCACCCGTGCCTAGCATGTATAGCAAACGGGATAGAAAACTTACCATTCCCGTCTTACTCTATCTCTTTCGCTTTACTGCATTTTGCTTCATCTCTCTCTGCCCCCTTTCCCTCTCTCCATCTACCCACCCAACTTTCTACATATTCATTTATCTATTTTTTTTTTCTCTCTCCCCTCTCTATCACTTTTAGCCGTAGCATGTTTGTGTTTTGTTGCATTTCTCTTTTTGTCTCAGTCTAGTGTAACTATGGGTATTTTGGATTTCCTGTATATTAATTCATTGGTTTAATTCTTGGAACAAACACGCAAAAAGCCTAGCGTTTAAGTAGGTAGAATTTTCATTTCCGTCTTTAATGATTTACAGAACATTCTTTCACGCTATTGATTTGTTTGATTCAGGATAATTTATTTCCAGAAATGATAATGTTTTGTTACATGTATTATGCTTTGTCAACTTTGCATGAAATGTAAATAAAAGCAACTACACTGTAATCAATCAATCAATAGTGCGATGGGTTCTAGATTGCGAATCGCCTATCCGAGGAGCGGAGTGTTTTCCACTTTAATATAGCCTGCGTCTATGAAACAAGGGGGGACGTTAACACACACCGCCTATTTTGGATATGAACCCACGATCTTTGCTTCGAAAGGGCAGACGCTATACTGGCTTAGCCAACTCATCCCTACTAAATATTGACACTTAATACTGTTGTATCAAGTCTAGTTCTGGACCCTTTTTATCGATCGTTTTATTCGCCGACTATACGCGAGAACCGAATCGGTTCTCGGGGTCGCGCCATCACTCGGCTTAACGCCTATAGTCGGCGAATAAAATAATCGATAAAATAATATGATTTTTAAGTATAGTTCAACTAAAATTAGACCCCCAATTCCTCAAGAAATTTAAACAAGAATTATAGAAAATAGGCAAGAAGAAAAGGATTCAGCGGGGGAGAGGGGCACTTTAACACTTCACTTCAGAAAATGGGACGGCGAGGCAAATACTTCTTTCTCAGACTCAAACAATTTTATATAATTTGGTCATAAGAAAAAGGAAGAGACTGGATTTCCAACAACAGTGTAGATGCAGGGGCGTAGACAACGGGGGGATGAGGGGGATGCATCCCCCCACCTCACAAGGTGGGGGGATGGCATGTACAATCATCCCCCCCAGGTTTTGGGGAATGATATTTGCTTACTTAATAAGTTATAATGATGATAATAATAGTAATAATAATAATGATAACAATTATAATATTAATAATAATAATAATTATGATGATGATAATAATAATCCTCATCATTATTGTAATTGTGTTTATTGTTATTAGCCGCATTCACAAGGTGAAAGCCAATTCAGACGGTAAGAAAAAGAAAATCTAGCTTACAAGTATTTTGTGGTTATCTTGTGGTTTGGAAACCACAAGATAACCACAAGATTAAACAGGCGCGGATCTACGGGGGAGGTTTAGGGGGTTTAAACCCCCCCCCCCCCCCCTTGGGCGGCCCAAAAAACAAACAAAAAAAAAAGGGAAAAAAAAAAAAAAAAAAAAAAAAAAAGAAAGAAAGAAAAAAGAACGCACGCTGGAGAGAAACCCTTTCAAGTGCAAATATTGTGAGAAGATATTCAACTCATCTGGTAACTTAACCAAACACATGATAACTCTGGATATAACTGTGTATTTAACTGTTACTTGATTTAAAAAGACGTTATCATGCACTGCTTTTTATGGTCTCCATTGTGTTAATAGATGCCAGGAAAACATCACTTACGGGGTTCAAATAAACACCCCCAAAAAAAATCGGCTCGCCGCTTCGCGGCTCGTGGACGATGCTCCGCATCGTCATTATTTTGGTCACCCCCCCCCCTCCTTAGCAAAAAGCTAGATCCGTCCCTGAGTCATCCCCCCCAGGTGTACAAACCTGTCTACGCCACTGTGTAGATGTGACTGTGCTCGGGAAGGGAGGGGATTTGTTGAGCTTTGGGAATGAAGGGGGGGGGGGTAGGTAAGTTTGTATGAGTGTCTGAGTATGTGAGCGTGTGTGGTGTGTCTGTCGGTCTGTGCGTATTTAGACTTTGATCTATAATATTCATTCAGTATAATTAATTTGAAGACATTATGTACTGTGTATTAAACTATATTATGTATTTTTTGAGGGATGTACAATTTTCTTTACATTTTGATATGTTATGTAAATCAATGAAGATGTTTTTTAATAAATATTTTGTACTGAATGAATACAATAAAGAATGCTACAAAACAAAAAAAGAACTAGACTATGTTGTATCTAGCAATAGATCAGACGTTTATATAGATTTCACTTACCTTGATTGCTTCATGGACGGTATACTTGTAAGCAAACTCCAATTAAATGCGGTATTAAAGTGCCTCTTGCCAACTTTGATAAGTGCCCCTTTACCTCTGATAATTGCCCTATTCAAATCTGAGAGGTGCCCATATTATTTTAACAAGTGCCCTTTCTTTTGAAATAAGTGCCCCTTTCCTCTTCAGATAAGTGTTCCTATTTTATTTTTGATTCGTACCCTTTCGCACCTCTGATAAATTCCCCTTTTTATAAATAATTTCCACCTCCCCGTCTCATAAATACCCTTACTCACACCTCAGATAAATACCTCTATTACAATCTCATAAGTGCTCCTTTCTATTTTCACATGTGCCCCTATTCATTTCAGGTGAGTGCACCTTTTCAGATACAAGAAGTGCACCTTAACACCTCTGATAAGTGCCCATTCACCTCTTAAAATTGCCTCTTTTCAAATCTGAGAGGTATCCCTTATATTTTGACAAGTGCCTCTTTGTATTCTTATATTAAAGTGCCCCTTTTCATCTCCGATGAGTTCCCTTATTCAAAGTAAGAGATGCCTCTTTTAACTTTGTAAAAAGTACCCCCTTTCGTCTCAGATAAGTGCCCCTGTTATTTTAACACGTGCCCCTTATCCTTCCTAATTAATGCCATATTACTTCAGATAATTGCCCATAATTCTCCTTTGTAATAAGTGCCCTTGTTTGTTCATCTCTAGTGAGTGCCCCTTATCAGGGGCGAGAAGTGCCCAATTTCACCTCTGATTAGTCCCCATTTTACCTTTATACGTACTCCTTTTTTTTCCTTATAAGTGTCACTTTCCCCCTTGGATACGTACCCCTTTTTCCTTTCACCATAATAATGTGCTCAAAATTTGTAAGCAACTAAGACTTCGCCCAAAGCTCGCTCGCATTTAAAGTATACTTATGTTTCTTATTCAAAGTCTTTTCAGTCTTAAACACATTAGGATTTTCCGACTCTTTATAAGAGATAAATTTTAGCACTGCGACCTCACAAATCTTAAAATTTGTGCTTGCTCGCTTCGCACGGTCGCACATTAAATTATTCAGATCACCACACACAACTGCAAAATATGATGCTTAAGCAGTATCTTGGACAATGTAATGAGAGAAACAAATATTGAAATCATCCCAGATAATGTAATCACAATGAAGGGGTATATACCGATGTCTAAAAAGTTGTATATTATATCGGTGCCCTTTTTGCCAAATAGTGCCCTTTTTTATGGTGCACCCCCCCCCCCCCACATTGAAAGACGTTTCACCGCCCCTCGATTATGCTTTATTACTGTCACCAACTTAATTTATGTTTACGCGAAATTACTCAAGCCCATTTCACACCGGATCTGCGTAGAGTTGCGTAGTGTGGCGTACCGACTACGCCGAAATAAGGCTGCGTATTCATGAAATAAAATGCTGTTTTAGCGTAGTCCCTGCGTAGGTGTTGCGTACCCCCTGGCGTACGCTGGCGTATGGTTACGTACCGCATACTTACGGCCTATGCAATTGGCGTACCTACGCGTACGATTGCGTATAATAGGCGTAGGGTTGCGTGCGTTAACGTAGGCCTGGCGTAAAGGGTACGTAAGTTTGCTTAGGGTTGCTTACTGTGTGCCCAAGCGTCGTGCACAAATGCAATAGCTTATGCCTAGTTCACACCGACGCCGAATGTCGCGCTTTAAATCGGCGATCA